GGTTGGGATTGGGGGTTGGGGTTGGGGTTGGGATTGGGGGTTGGGGTTGGGATAGGGATATGGATTTCGGGTAGGGTTAGGGATTTGGGTTAGGGGTAGGGATAGGGATTTGGGGAAGGGGTAGGGGTAGGGATTTGGGTTAGGGGTAGGGATAGGGATAGGGATTTGGGGTAGGGTAGGGTAGGGGTAGGGATTTCGGGTAGGGTAGGGGTAGGGATTTGGGTAAGGGGTAGGGGTAGGGATAGGGATTTGGGGAAGGGGTAGGGGTAAGGGTAGGTGTAGGGATTTGGGTTAGGGGTAGGGGTAGGGATAGGGATTTGGGGTAGGGTAGGGATAGGGATAGGGATTTCGGGTAGGGTAGGGGTAGGGATTAGGGTTAAGGGTAGGGGTAGGGATAGGGATTTTGGGAAGGGGTAGGAATAGGGATTTGGGTTAGGGGTAGGGGTAGGAATAGGTATTTGGGGTAGGGTAGGGTAGGGATTTGGGTTAGGGGTAGGGGTAGAGATAGGGAATTTCGGGTAGGGTAGGGGTAGGGATTTGGGTTAGGGGTAGGGATAGGGATTTTGGGAAGGGGTAGGGGTAGGGATAGGGATAGGTATTTCGGGTAGGGTAGTGGTAGGGATTTGGGTTAGGGGTAGGGATAGGGATTTCGGGTAGGGTAGGGGTAGGGCTAGGGATTTGGGGATGGGGTAGGGGTAGGGATAGAGATTTGGGGTAGGGGAAGGGGTAGGGATTTGGGGTAGGGGAAGGGGTAGGGATTTGGGGTATGGGTAGGTAGGGGTTAGTGTAGGGATTTGGGGTAGGGGTAGGAAGGGGTTGTGGTAGGGAGTTGGGGTAGGGTAGGGATTTGGGGTAGGGTTAGGGATTTGATGGCGGTATGCGAGTTTAGCGGTACAACAGGAAGCGATACATTGAGGTTATACTGTATAATGTTTGACGACGGAAACTCTTATTTTGTCTTTGTGGAAATGACCCTCTTTGTCATTTTCACACTAAACTTAGCGAATTCCATGCCTCAATATAGTTCGTGGAAGCCTATTTTTTCAAAGAAAAACGAAACCAGCGGATACTTATTTTCTTTCTTGGAATATAACAATTAAATTTCACCTTTAGGCTGGACATGTTTCATGCAACTATCAAAACGTCAAAATACTCAGCTCACTCGTAAAGACGGTAGGGGTAGGGATTTGGGGTAGGGGTAGGGGTAGGGATAGGGATAGGGATAGGGATTTGGGGTAAGGTAGGGATAGGGATAGGGATTTCGGGTAGGGTAGGAGTAGGGATTTGGGTAAGGGGTAGCGGTAGGGATAGGGATTTGGGGAATGTGTAGGGGTAGGGTTTTGGGTTAGGGGTAGGGGTAGGGATAGGGATTTAGGGTAGGGTAGGGTAGGGATTTGGGTTAGGGGTAGGGGTAGGGATAGGGAATTTTCGGGTAGGGGAGGGGTAGGGATTTGGGTTAGGAGTAGGGGTAGGGATAGGGAATTTCGGGTAGGGTGGGGGTAGGGATTTGGGTTAGGAGTAGGGGTAGGGATAGGGAATTTCGGGTAGGGTGGGGGTAGGGATTTGGGTTAGGAGTAGGGGTAGGGATAGGGAATTTTCGGGTAGGGTAGGCGTAGGGATTTGGGTTAGGGGTAAGGATAGGGATTTTGGGAAGGGGGAGGGATAGGGATTTGGGGTAGGGGTAGGAAGGGGTTGTGGTAGGGAGTTGGGGTAGGGATAGGGATTTGGGGTAGGGTAGGGTAGGGATAGGGATTTGGGGTAGGGGTAGGGATTTGGGTTAGGGGTAGGAAGGGGTTGTGGTAGGGATTTGGGGTAGGGTTAGGGATTTGATGGCGGTATGCGAGTTTAGCGGTACAACAGGTAGCGATACATTGAGGTTATACTGTATAAGGTTTGACGACGGAAACTTTTATTTTGTCTTTGTGGAAATGACCCTCTTTGTCATTTTCACACTAAACTAAGAGAATTCCATGCCTCAATATAGTTCGTGGAAGCCTATTTCTTTTCAAAGAAAAACGAAACCAGCGGGTACTTGTTTTTCTTTCTTGGAAAATAACAATTAAATTTCACCTTTAGGCTGGACATGTTTCCTCAGCTCACTCGTAAAGTAGGGATTTGGGGTAGGGTAGGGATAGGGATTGGGATTTCGGGTAGATTAGGGGTAGGGATTTGGGTAAGGGGTAGGGATAGGGATTTGGGGAAGGGGTAGGGGTAAGGGTAGGTGTAGGGATTTGTGTTAGGGGTAGGGATAGGGATTTGGGGTAGGGTAGGGTAGGGATTTGGGTTAGGGGTAGGGGTAGAGATAGGGAATTTCGGGTAGGGGAGGGGTAGGGATTTGGGTTAGGGATAGGGATAGGGATTTTGGGAAGGGGTAGGGGGAGGGATAGGGATAGGGATTTCGGGTAGGGTAGTGGTAGGGATTTGGGTTAGGGGTAGGGATAGGGATTTTGGGAAGGAGTAGGGGTAGGGATTTGGGTTAGGGGTAGGGGTAGGGATAGGTATTTGGGGTAGGGTAGGGGTAGGGATTTGGGTTAGGGGTAGGGATAGGGATTTTGGGAAGGGGTAGGGGTAGGGATAGGGATAGGGATTTCGGGTAGGGTAGTGGTAGGGATTTGGGTTAGGGGTAGGGATAGGGATTTCGGGTAGGGTAGGGGTAGGGCTAGGGATTTGGGGAAGGGGTAGGGGTAGGGATAGAGATTTGGGGTAGGGGAAGGGGTAGGGATTTGGGGTAGGGGAAGGGGTAGGGATTTGGGGTATGGGTAGGTAGGGGTTAGTGTAGGGATGTGGGATATGGATCGGGATTTGGTGTAGGGGTAGGGATTTGAGTTGGGGTGAGGGGATGGTTACTGTGTGTATGGAAAACTACAATGGAAATATATAGTCCTGGCCTGCGGTGGGACAGGAACCCTTTAAGTTTTCAGTGTCAAGCTCAGGTAAAATACAGGTAAATTCATCTGAAATGGACTATAAAGGTAATGAACATATTTTTTAGTGGGGAAATATAGGTACTGTCGCGTGGCCGTACCACACACATTTAAAAGCACACACGGTAACTGCACGCTTCCTTGTTTGTTGTCCGCCCCCCGTCACGTCTATTAAGGAAAGGTGTAAGAAAGAAAACAAAGCTATTCATGTGAAACATAGTCAACGAAAAAGCATAAGCGTGTATATTGTAGCCATATCATATATGTCACTTAGTCCTATTTATGTCAACAGGCCAAGCTGACGTTTTGTCTGTTTCGTGTGCAGATAATATTGTTTGGTTAAGTAATTCTTATTGTTATGTTGTAGATGATTGTACATTTCAAATCTTTATAAAACATGGATTTTACAATATATATACATATCGACTTATTTATGTTGCATACAGTGTGTATATTGGATTCAACGTTATATTTCATTCATATCGGTATGAACCCCGGTTATCACACTGTATGTTCAATGAATTCTGTTCAACACATATACTTACATTATAAAGTGATAGTTATTAGCCAGGTAAACATTCATTTTCCCTTTTATTTGTGATACTTGTGTTTCTGTAATAACATTTCGGAACAGCTGATCGTTATCTAAAACGTTTGCTTTTAACGACGGTCTCGCGTTATTCAAGACGGAAGGAGAAGCTTCAAAACGACACTGATCCGGGGTTTTAGGCGTAAACCCCAATCAAACAAGCGTATTTATCGTACTTTACGAAAAATAACCATCAATGTCCTATTAAAGTAAGGAGAAAAAGAATAAGCAACGAATTTGTCGATAAACACATCTTAATCAATTTATCACTAACAATGTGTTTCAGTTGAGGAAAAAACAATGAAGTGTGGTGGGTTTGTTTTCTTTACAATGATATACAAGATATCAAAATCCATTAGGAAGTAAGAAAATAACAATTTGTAGTAAAAACTATGCTAATCTTTAAATGTGGCGTTAGTATCTTGCGTGAAAAAATCCGCTAGCGACAATTTCATCAGGAAACTACTATTTACACAGGTATGGCCTAAACCACTTTATATATAGTATACAAAACCGCCAAGGTGATTATGTCCGGAACCCTTGTAAGGTAAACTGTAATTAGACAGAGACAACAAGCGCCGTGTGTTATAGCTCGCGGTAAGACTGTGCACGGTCGTGATTGGGCGATCAAGTACGAGCAGACAACGGTCACTCATAGAGTATAAAACAAAACCCGAGGCCGGTCCGGAATTATTGCTGTTTTTGTTTGCACACTATAACGGCAGTATGAAGATCGGGGTATTGATATTTACTGTGATTGCAGGTAAGTTGTGAAAATAATTAATTAATTAATTAATTTAGTTATTGTTATTTTGGAGGGAAAGTATGTTTCAGCTTTTATCGGTTATTATTTTAGCTAAAATACTTTATTTTATAATTCGCACAAGTTTTAAACGAAGACACTTTACACTCGTTTATAAACAGATAAATAAAAAAAAAAATCTTGTGAATAGATTTTCTTTCCTGTTTTAGATTTTATTTATTCATTTTAAGTTTTAAAATTTATATAGCATTATAGGCCTCCAGCCCCGAATACAAGTTTTTAAATCAATATTTGATTGCCCATCAATGTCTCTGAGCAACATAATGCATTGTCAAATGATACTGTGGCAAATCCTATACCTCTACGGGCATCCACTGAGTATGCAGCCCTTACCACATATAATGCCATATCTTCGGTCTTAGCTTCATTGCAAAACTCATAATCATTGCGTTTTCACATGCAATGCATAAACATTTTTTTTTATGAATGACAATAGTGTTTTTCTTAAGTTCGAACAAAATCATAATGTATCTATCTATATGTTTTACTCCACAGAAATCAAAATGGCTTTAATGCGGTATCAATGTAGTATTATATTCATATTAATTGAAATAATCAATAATAATGATTATTATATTTAGATTTGAAAGATCTTGGGCACGGCAACATTGGATAAAACGCTGTCACATCATTTGACAATTTGCTAAATATAGGTACCTTGAGACATCAAGTAGAAAAACTGTGGGGAAAGGGGCAACCGGGGCATGTAAATACGATCATAGAGTCGCACATCGATGTCTTCTCTTATTATTCACAAAGAAAAAAGACACATAGTAAAATTCGTTTCTGCAGTGAGCCACCCATTACACGCCTCATATAATTATAATAATATAATTATAAACAACATTTGATATAGCGCCCTATCTAGTTTACATAAGCCACCCTTAAACACTTTACAGTACAAAGATATACAATTAATACACTTTGCATATACATTAATCAATACAATTTTGAGGAATTCGCAGGAGCTGCCTTGTCAGACGCTAACTGTTAGTCCTATGCCACCTGGCTAATATCTCCCTACTTGTCAGGCACTAACTACTAGTCCTATGCCACCTGGCTAATATCTCCCTATGTGTGTATGCCTGCGCGTTGAGTCATTTCCATGTTCTGTAACCTCCCTGCATTTCCTTTGTCGCCTCCTCTGTTTGATTTTCAGTCACCCCTAGATTTGTGTGGTCCGCCATTACAGGCTCCACATATGGTGCTAGATACTCCCACTCTTTTGGAACACCTGGTTTTACCTCTGGTTATATTTGTTTCATATTTTCTCTCGTATTTTTTGTGCCCTGCCCACTTGCGGTTGTTGGTTTTTATTCTCTGGCTTTGTTGATTTTATGTGTTTACCTTGATTTCGTGTTTTTTTTTTCATTTTATGTATTGATTATTTGGAATTTATTTATGTAGGTCTTCTATTGATAATATTCAATTTTACTTACAGCAGTGGTATCTACGGTAACGGCACAATGTAAGTAACTGCTTCGTGTATTTTTCATTCATTTATTTATTTATCAACTCATTTAGTTATTTTTCTATTTTTTTATTTGTTCATTTCATTTATTCATTCATTTTTTGTTTGCTCTTTTTAATTCATCACGATCATATCATAGGTTGAAATCAAGACATAGTAACAACCGCTTATTTTTTTCACCTTCATATGTAGCTAATGACGTCAGTTTTAGAGTTACCTCCCCTTAAACACGATAAGGGTTCGATGACTGACAAGTGAGGTTAACTTAATCCTCGATATCCAGGGGTTACACCCACTTTCGCTCTCTACACCCTTTGAATATGTCATAGAAAAATTAAAGGCTCAGTGTACGCCACCTTGCATCCTCGATATCCAGGGGTTACGCTCACGTTTGCTCTCTACACCCCTTGAATATGTCATGGCAAAATTAAAGGCTCAGTGTGCGCCATCTTGTTGATGAAACAAGAAGACTAGTTCGATCATCAAAAGAATCTCGCGGTCACGTAACGGTAAAAATTGACAGGCTTTGAAGTCGGGCGTCTCTCCTTTGTAATCTTCAAAGGACATGTATCAGCCTAGCGATTGGTCAGTTTTTTTTTTACTTGAGACCAATCAAACAGCTATCTTCGTGTCTTAAATTTTGCTATGACATATTCCAGAGGTGTAGAGAGCGAATGTGAGCGTAACCCCTCGATATTAAGATGGGTCATAGTACAAATGTATATATTTGAAACACAGCTAGCATAAGGTACTCTTAAAGTTATAAAGTTACCTTAGATATTAAGGTTTTGTATATCATTTACGAATCATTTCCGGGTATCAGTAATATTCTCCTTTACACAATTCTTTGTGTAAAAGGTACTGTTTTTGTTTTTGAAACTGTTCTAGCAAGTTGTATTGTCTGAATATAATTGAATGATCTTTTAAAAGTTGAAAATAGTTCCGATATTTCTCGTCAAGATTAATATCCATTTGAATTACAGTGACAACTTACCGAAGACGTCCCCGCAGTGCTATTTATTTTATTAGTTTTATTCAAAAATAAACATTTACCACTCAACTTAGTTTGACACAAAAATAGCAATAGAGATCTGGTCTCGTAGTGTTATAGTTCAGTTCATGTTCTATGTGAACATATGTTCTGCACTCTATAGAGCTTCAAAACAATTTAATTGGATTTGCAAATTAAAGTTGTTATTCTTGTTTACGTTAGGTTATACATTTGATCTGCAATGAATTTTGTTTAACTATAATTCATTATCTGCACGTAATAATTAAATAATGTTTCCGTCAAAAATCTAATTATCTCCAAATCACTTTTCCGTTGAATGATATTGTTTTTGGTATCAATTTTGCATGTTCAAAATTGTGATAATGCCTTTTTTTATATATATATATATTATTATATTATTGTTAGCTGTTACGGCTCTAAACGGAAACAATACGTCTGTTTTAACTTTATACGGTTTTGGAAATATGTACAGCATGTATATATATATGCTTCTAACTTTCCTGGCTAAACCTTGAACATGGACTGATGCTTGCGATGCAATTTTAACGGAAAAAAAAAGATGATTGCTATTCTATTGATTAATGGTCGTGTTGTTTTCTATATTCATAGCTTTTTGTTGTTTTTGTCCCCCTGCACAATTACATGTATCGGTAATTATATATTACTAATAGATGTTAGTTTTGTGGTTCAGCCATGTTGGTGATTCATCACCTGTCATGTAAGACACAATCCCTCATTTAGGATCGTGACAAAGCTTCCCCCGCACTTCTCTCGGACATCCCCGTTTTCGCCAGAGAAAATATAAACATGCCTCTCCTTACCTACGGAAAGACGGCTCATACACATTATCATTCTGAAAACGTCAACTCGCGTCATCACTTGCAGTATAGCTAGGGGAGCGTCATCACTTTATACAGTGTAGCTATTGTAGCGTCATCACTTTATGTAGTGTAGCCAGGGTAGCGTCAACACTTTATGCAGCGTAGCTAGGGTATCGTCGTCACTTTATGCAGTGTAGCCAGGGAAGCTTCATCAATGTATGCAGGGTAGCCAGGGAAGCGTCGTCAATTTATCTAGTGTAGCCAGAGTAGCGTCATCACTTTATGTAGTGTAACCAACGTAGCGTCATCACTTTATGCAGTGTAGCCAGAGTAGCGTCATCACTGTATGCAATGTAACCAAGGTAGCGTCATCAATTTTATCACACCAAGCGCATTTGATGATGATGCGGTACATCAGGTAAACCATTACAACAATTTTTACGGTAGGAAATTGCGAGAGAAAAAAAAAGTCAGTCGCTTCTGTCTGACGTAGACAACCCTTGGGATAAAACTTTTAAAAATTAAATATTCGGCAAAGCCTCGTACTAAACTAAATTTACCCTCGATTTGAGATTTCTGTCTACGTCACACTGCATCCAAGAATAAAAGTTTTATTTTTATTTTTTGTTTGGTGTCATGCAACACAGTTTTGTGTTTTACTAGGTAATCGTTATTAAACTTCATCCAATAAAAAGTATATCTTATTGCAATATTGGGATCGTATCATTTGAAATAACACATCCTTTTTAACCCTTCGCGCTCGAGGTTTTCTCAGTCATATTTCCCTCATTCATGATATATACAAAATAAGTAAGGTTTATTACCCCATTCAGAACACCTCACCCCTCTGTGTTCCGAGTGACTGAAGCGAATGAGAAGCGAATGACAACAGGTCGAACTAGTCTCGTTCAACCAGACTCTTGTTGTTCTCTAGCAAGCTAATTTAAATTACAAGTGAACAAGCGTCTGGTTGAACGAGACTACATGGCAAATAAACCGGATCTCCTTTATTGTTGCTTGTTTTTTTTTGCATTATGAAATAATCCTTTTGTTGTTTTTAAGTCTCATTGATCAATAATGTGTCAAGGTTGACCAAGGGGAAACAAATAATAATATCATATACATGTATTTTAACTACTCAGTACTATCTATATATAATAGGTCTTGTTGAGAGTCAATATTGTTTTCATTGCAAAACCGACACTGAAACTATAGTTCATGCATTATGGGAAAATAAAATTGTTTTTTTAACAAGTTTTGAACCACTGCTAGATGCGTTATTAATTACATTTCCTTTTATAAAGAAGCTTTTATCTTTTGTTTCTATAATATAAGTTGATAATTTAGTAATTCTTATCTTAAAACTATATATTTATTTATTTAGGCTAGATGTCTGCAAACTGGTCTGTCAGATTTATCTTTTAAACACTTAGTCAAAGACATTTATCAGGAATACATTGATACACGCACATATATAACATATACATAACAACTCGTATTTTGCTTTCAGATCAACGATTTTCAATTTCTATGTTTAAAATGGATAACAAAACATTAATGATGATTTTTTTTTATTTTGTTACAGCCGATTTCTACGAAAACTATTATGATAATTTAGGAGATTACCGAGATAATTACGGTGATATGTTCGACAACGATAACAATGGTTTCTATGGAATGCGCCCTATGTATGGGGGTGGCTTTGGGATGTATGGACGTGGCTTCGGGATGAATGGGCGTGGCATGTATGGTGGGTATGGCAACATGTACGGAAGAGGATTCGGAAACAGTTTCTATGGCAACCGATGGAGTTATCCTAGAATGAACTACTATCAGCCATGGAAAAGATCCTGGATTAGACCAAGCATGTTTATGGGATACTAGGGGAGATTACTCGACATATTTCATCACAGAATATTCTCTTTTGACGTCGAACACTCTTATTCCGAAAAAAAATAAAATAAAAAGGGAGGTTCCTGTGTATGCAGACAAATTAGCGTGCTTAAAGTATAATTGATATACTGGTTCCTATTAATGAAGAATTTCAAGAAAATTACATACACATTCTGACGTTTAGTAGAGGAGTTACTTCCCTTTGTTAATCGCCGCGGCGTTGTAGCAGTGTGGTTTATAGACCTTTTCATTTAAAGTAACTTAAAGAATCCGTTTGAAGAATTTTGCGACTAATTTGCAAACTTTAATGCATTTCCTTGTATCAAAAATCAAATTCAGTAACATTTTAAAATGCAATTGTAAAATACACTAAAACCACGGAATTAGATCCAAGTCCGTGCTTAAACTGATAATTAGATAGATAGATACGGAAACAAAAATAGAATAAACAAAAAAGGGACGTACAGTTATACGTCAATTTGTTGTGTGGTATGTTAATATTTTATCGGATTTTACTTTTAATACACAGTGTCTGTTAGTTAAGAATGCAATTTTATGATTTTATGATAACTGTCATTTTTAATACATTATTTATTTCTATAGGAATATTTTCTGAAGATTCAAAACCAAACACGATGTAGAAAGCACGTTTCTGACACACTCTGTCAAACTGAATCTTTCAATGTTAATAAATCGATATGTTATTTCATAACCGTTTTTAATGTGTTTTGTTTTTATCTCGATTTCTATTTCGGAAGCATTTCGGAATAAACAATGTTAATTTATGAAAAAATATAATTGAGAATATGTTTCAATTCTCACATCACGGCTATCAAAATATAAACTTCCCCGTGGATAGAAGAACGTATCTCATTGGATTCAATTAAACACATGACAGGGGAGATAAATCATCGACCTACCTCCCGCGGTCGAGGGAATTTGTTTGAGGTAACGAGTTTGCTAATTCTACTTTGTTAACACTTTCTATTCCCACATTTATCATCTGCTCTTGTGAGCAGGTATTGATTGTTACGTCATTTGTTTGTGAGAGTAACGTTATCAATTTTTGAGAAAACGACGTAATTTTCTCACACAAATCAATGACGTAAGAATCAATACCTGCTCACAAGAGAAGATAACTCTGCAATACGCAAAGACGGAATACTCTGGTAGTGTTCGTATTTACATGTAATCTTTCTAGAGTTCGTTATGCTTGCCGCTTGTAAAATGTAAACCATCATGAAAGGAATTCTTCGCAAATGGTGTTCGTATTGGAGGAGGGTGAGGTCATAGTTGAATATTTTAAGAAATGACGGAAGGTTTAAATTAACAACAAATTTGCAGTTTAATTTATGGTCTGAGAGTTAATGAAATCTTGCAATTTTGACAGAAACCTGCTTGCTTCGAACCGTTACATGTATAAATGGTTAGTGTATGTTCCAAAATCTATTGATGCAAGATAATGTATATTTTTGTCTTTGTAAATGGGTTTAACCCTTTCACCACTGTAGACTATAATGGACTCATCAATATCAATGCATGGTAGAGTCTTCTCATGATACATAGGGGTGAAAGCGTTAGCTATAATCAGTACACTCAAGTGTTTTACACTGTATAAGACTATTGAAATTTGTCCTATTTACCAAATGATGATAAAAAACGCAAGAAAAAAAGCAGAGGACTTGACTGTTTTATTTTATTTATAAAAGCAGAATTATTGAAAGAGTTAGAAATGACCAATTCCCAACGTATAAAAGTTTTGCTACTATTTTTTTCCCAATAATGACTCCTGAATTTTTTTTAGTGGAGTAGTTTACTGTTTAATAATTATGCATCATTTCTAAAAAAAAATCTACAGATAATTTTCTTGCGACGCATTTTACAAAAAATATTATCTCAAATTTAAAATTAAATTAGGTTGAACTATTAATACACGTTTGTGTAAAGAAGAAGAAGAAGAATGAAAACCAGGACAAGCCGATATTTAGGCCTACTTGTATTAATATCAAAAATGAAGGGAAGTAACTCTAAGATAACTTCTTTTTGTTCTCGTTTTATTATATTCAGGAATTTTGTGGCTTTCTTTTCACGAGGATATTAAAATCACTAGCTGAACCTTTTTTTTAAATCCTATGAAAACAAGTAACAAAAGCAGAAATAGCGTTATGGTCTCAATTTTGATGGAAGGGAAATCAATTTTGTATAATGGTGGGTTTGAAACCCCTGGGGCAGAGCAGAGACGTATATACTACAGAGATTGGAAACTGCCCCTTTCTCATACCGAAGCGCACCTGTGTCGGGTAGTCTATTTGGATGACATCGATTCCATTGCAACGGCCTACGATATCGTTAGAAGATTTCCGAAACGCAAACTACGGCGGCCATTACTCGTCATCGAAAATTTGTATGTTAAATTTAGATCTTTCTTAGAAGGCCTTTTTCGAAATAATTTAATAATCAATATTTTATACTGTTGTCCTTAATTTTGAAGTCCATCCTAATACTGAAAAAGATGTTTATAAATTTAAGAAATCCACGGGTAAAAACGCGCATCGTGATATGAGGGCGACTTATTAGTGAGTGGACATACACATTATAATTGTAACCCTGAATTTGGCAGGGTATGTCAATATGTCGTGAACCTTTCTCTAGAATTTTAATTAGCCAGAGGAGTAAGATTACAATTACTAGTACCACGAAATTAGATTATCTAAGTCCGTGCTAGTACCGATCCCCTAAGGCTTTTACCCCTATCCGCACCTGCCTCCCTTAATTCAGCTCCCGTAAGATCTCCTCACTGGTAAGTCACCTTCACACCCGTGATGACCTCCCCCCAGGAGTATCCTGGTTCAGGTACAAGTGTCCAATTATAAGCTTTAAGTTATACAACTAACAAATAGGTGTAAAGTTAATAAAACGATATTTTCGATGCTCTTATAATAAGGCTTTATCGTGAAAACGTCCCTTTCTCTTAAAACGTCATTACGGTATGTTAATCAATATTCAAAATAGTCTATGAAGTCGATATATCAGAAGAAAAATAATAAAATATTGTAGAATTTAAATCACTGAACCGATTTAAAATTGCCCATCTAGAAAAAAAGGAGTTTAAACGAAAACCTTGCGTATTTTTTCTCGGTATTATTTAAACAATAACTGGTTGCCTGGATGTAATTATTGTTGATATAATTACAAGTGGCCTCTGGCAAATCCCATAAAACCCGGTTTTATGGTAGATTTGCCAGAGGCCACTTGTAATTATTACAACAATAATTACATCCAGACAACCAGGTATTTTTTATATTTACACATTTTTTCTTTTTTAAGACATATTCCTACAAAAACCATTTGCCCTGCCTCAAAATACATTTCAGGCGACCATTTTGTTTGTTTACATATTCCTACACCTGAAACATGCAGTTGTAATTATAGTCGAGCAGTTGTAATAATAGCCTATATAATTACACTTGCCCTCTAACACTGTTGTAATGGGACGGCGCGGGGGCAAATGTAAATATAATGCAATGGCTGCCAGTGATGACTTCTAATTCTGAAATCAAGGTATATTCTCAGATGAATTTAGCAATGTTGTTATCTTACGAAGCTGAATCCAAAGAAGCGCAACATAAAAATATAGTAGAATCTAAATCACCAAACAGATTTAAAATTCACCGTCTTGAAAAAAACGGAGTTTAAACGAAAACCCTGGGTATTTTTGCTCTGTGTTATAATGTAATGGCTGCCAGTGATGACTTCTCATAATTCTAAAATTACGATTTACTCTCATATCAATGATCAAGATTTTTAAACATTTAATGACGCTAAAAATGATCTTGTAATTAACTGTTGCGTTCCGTAAATAAGAATTCTCTACGATATTTGTAAAACTTGTAATTATTAAACAAATTTATAACAATTGCTGATACCACCTATATGGGCGACTGCAACCCAAGTCTCGCGACGGATCTCCAAGAAAATGGATTATGATAATTATTTTTAATACAAAAAGTGTAGCAGAACTTATAATGTAGAGACAGAATGTAACAGTTACCTCCCTTTGATCATGTAGATCTGACTAAATTGTTATAGTAGCACACACAGTTCAGAAGATACAAATACGCGTAAAATTTCAAATACAGAGTTACTTGTCCTTCTCCAAAGACTTTTTCATAAAGGCCTATCTGTCAAAATAGATAACCTGGTTCAATGCGGTGGCATTACAATCTTAAAAAACAAATTAATGTTTTTATTACTTATGAAATACCGGCAGCAATGTAAATTGGCCTGTCAAACTACCACAAAATTAACCCAAACAGACACAGAAGTGTGTTTCCTTTTTTTACACAACCACTTATAATAGATTATAGCAGCAACAAATCTTTCTCTCTCTTATATTAAGAATCGAGATCGTGAAAACCAGGAATTATTTGAAATTTCTGTGTAACCTTAATCATTTGATTTGGTCAGAAAAAAGGGCAATAATATTTGAAAAAAACAGGAATCGAAGTTTTATCAATGATTATATTCCGTATAGCATATTTCGTCTTTGCGTATTGCAGAGTTATCTTCTCTTGTGAGCAGGTATTGATTGTTACGTCATTGGTTTGTGAGAGAAAATTACGTCGTTTTCTCAAAAATTGACGACGTTACTCTCACAAACCAATGACGTAACAATAAATACCTGCTCAAAAGAGAAGATAACTCTGCAATACGCAAAGACGGAATAACCATAGCTGTAAGCTTATATATATCATGTATACGGTCTTGAGCAGGGACACCTTAATCAGGAAATAAAATGGAAATTATTCCGGTAGGTCATTTTTATCCAATACACACACTCATGATTGTGATTGAACAAGGGAGGTGTCATGATGATTTCCAAATGGTAAATCCACTGAAGAGTATAACAATGATGAAATACTTCATATAAACACCTTAAAACAGACACGGTCCAGAGTTAACAATGAATACGGTCAACAGATGTGTCCTTATGATTTTAGATGCAAAATAGGTAACATGAACGACGAGATACTATATATATATACATCTTATATCATACACGGTCCTGAGCGGGGACATTCTGGTCAGGAAATCAAATGTTAAATATTTCCGTTGTAATTCATCACATCAGTACAGTTTGCAATGAATACGGTCATCAGATGTGTCCTTATGATTCTAGATGCAAAATAGGTTACATGAACGACGAGATACTATATATATACATCTTATGGGTCAAAGAAGTAATATAGACGGTAAAATCCCATATAACACTGGATCCTAATGGAGGTATGTCCGTAGGATACGAATTACTTAAAATATTATATGGGGCAAATAAGTAATTCCAACAGTGTGGACAAGTTTAGGTTGTCAAATTTTCGGAGCGATCCGCTCCTTTTTCAAGACACGGTGAAACAGAACAGTTACATGTACATATACATCATATTACAAGATATACTATAAT